GGAGGCATGTGCGCTACACACACACACACACACACACACACACACACACACTCACACACTCACACACTCACACACTCACACACTCACACAAACACACATATGCAGTCTCTTTTTTTCCCTCTTTTTTTTTTTTTTCAGGCAGTGTGGGTTGCATGGTCGAAGTCGTAAATCCGCTTGTCAACTCGGCAAGTAGATTTTTCTCAGAACTCAAGCGCTTGAAGTGAACTCTTAACAATTTGGAGAAGGACTTTAAACCTTTATTTAGGTGACAGGTTTTTCCGTTCACTACATTAATGTTTAATAAAAGTGGTACTTTCTGGATTTATTTGCTGCATTAACAATGCCTGAATGTTTAATCTGAACGAAGGGAATAAGAAGATTTACATGAGATTAATAACAACTAACAGTTAGAATTACAATGTGGTTACACATGCGTTTGAAATATCTTTAAATCAAGAAGCAACCTTCAGTGTTGAAACATAAAGTGCAAAAAACTGCAATTCCTCGAGTGTCCACTTGAGGCTGGCTGCAAAAGCCCCGAAAGTCACATACACAACCATTCTAAACTCCAGATTTTAACAGCAGGAATAAACATGTTTAAAGCTTGGTTAAAAACTTCTTTTCAAGGGCACACATTATACCGGGAGGTGATATGTTTCTTTATCACTCATCCGTTTTGAGTGTGATGACAGATACGAGGGACGTTGCAGATCATTGTGATGGGGGGGGGCTTGATGTAGCTGTTTGTCAGGAACACATTTTCACTGACAGACACCTGGTCGTCCCCTTGCTAATTTATCTTTGCGTGTGGCCCAGGTAGTTAGCATCAATGCTAAGCTGTCTTCTTCAAAACATGGAGATGAATAACTTACCTACTTGGTTGACGTTAAGTTCCTTTAAGACAGTTTTTCAAACATGGCCACCAATGATGGGCTTCAAAAGTTCAATGGGCTACATCACTGAGACTATGTCCATATGTATATACAGTCTATAATTAAAACCTTTATGTCTACTGTGAATATCTGTGAATGCTCAAATAGTTCCAGGTATTCCTTTATTCTGAGAAAGATAATACTACTCGAGTTGTTTACAAATGCAAATGCATGTTCCTCAAAGATTCATTGACATGCAGCAGCGTACTCTTCCTGCTATATGATGTCAGAACAAAACCTTTCTCTTTAAATAGTTCAACCACATTCTGAAGGAAGGACCACTATTGAACGTGTAGTATACTTATGCTTTCAAATGCTGACTGACCTCATGTTGTCCTCTTGTTTGTTTACGGTCTGCTGCTACGGCGTGCTTTGTAAACAACCAGAAAAAGCAGTTTGCATGGCTGGAGCTGCACCAGAGTTTTTGTAAACAAACATTGTGATTCGCTCCGTTAGGCCTTATCTGTAATATGCATAGAGAATACTGTGTTTAGAAGACCCCTATGATGATAGAAACGTAGAAGGAAGGTGCTTCAGCCGCTTCATAAATGGACGTCGCTGCTCTCAGAGAAGGACCTTAGGCGTTCAAAATATAATTCAGTGGACTCCTGCTCTCAGACAGGATCCAAAGAAAGCACTGGAGCTCACGCATCATTTAAGGAAAAATTATTTTGGTGCAAATGTGCTTTACTTTGCTGGACTTTCTTTGGATCCTGCCTGATTTTTACTGGCGATAGAAACATTGTGATACTCGGTGGAAATAGTGGAAAATTGCACACAAACATATCTCTTGTTTCTTATATACATAACTGACTGTCTTCTCTATTTATTTAATTTTTTCTACTGTTATGCAGCCTCCTGTTGCTCTTTCAAAGACAACCGCTGTTTATTCCCAGCAGGCCGCCTACAAATCTTTGAATTTTTCATATTTAGTAATCAAATTTAGTTGTTATCAAATTGAGCTTTAAGTACTACAAGATGATGTGTACAAGGTGTTCTTGGTTTACTTCTGGACAAATAAGACCATTCAGCTACATTATAATATCTGGACTTAGGAAATTCCAATTTTTTCTCTTTTTATGTAAAACTGTGTGCATAAAAACCTGTAGCATCCTTTCTTTGTCTCTGTGAAGTTAAGCCAAACGGTCAAAGTAATCCTGTAGTTATCATTCCTGAGGTCTCTTGTTGTGAGTTTTGTGGAAGTCATATGATCTCTGAGAAGGGGTTTGTTCAGTCTCAGTCACCGAGGTGGTCCCTCCCTGCAGAGACGGCCTCTGTCATGGTCAGTCCCACTTTTTCCAGTCTTTTTTTCCCCCTGTCTTTTACTTAAGGGATGTGCAGGATAAGAGACAGTCTGGTTAAGTTTGTGAACTCAAAGACAGTTGATTCATTTCGCAGGCCAAGAGTGCTTGAAGGTGTCACAGAAGGAGCATTTTTTTTCATGTATGAAGATGAACATTGCCACATTGTAGCACCCTTCTTCCAATCCTTTTTCTTGTCCTCTCCCCTCAAAAAGGTTCAGGCAGAGGTCCTCACCACAACTATTTTTAACAAGGCCTGAAAGCCAAGCAGTGGACACACACACACACACACACACACACACACACACACACACACACACACACGTTCCCACAGACCCTTAGACAGGTGCCAACTTTTGTGCCGAAAAGTGTAGTGTGGTGTGTTGTGGTGGGGTGTGTGCTCGGGGAGTGACTGTAGGCTGGTGTCAGAGGAATGTCTGACCTCGCCGGCCTCTGCTGCTGTTTGGCTTTGATCGGACATTCCTCCAGAAGTTTCCACCTTCTGCTGTCACTGAGCCGCCGGCCACTCGTACGCTTTGAGTGTGGATGATGAAAGGAGTCAAATTAGATTTTTACTTTTCATTAACAATCAAACAGAATACAAGAAAACATTTGGAAAGTATAAAATATGAAATCATCAAGAAACGGGGTGATATGATAGATTTACTTGTTGTTTACAACTCTAGTAGATGTTTTACTTAGTAGTTATAAAAGTATTCTGTTGGCCAGGAACAATCCTACATTTGTAAAAAAAAAAAAAAAAAACAGGTGACTCACCAATGGTCAGTCTTTCAGAAATACATGTTTGAAGCCCATATTACGTCTTGAAATGTGCCCAAAAATCTGGTTAGAATTTTATTTAAAAAAAATATTCTTCATGTTAATAGGTGATACAAAATATCTAAAATATTTATCTTTCACTGTAAAGGTGAACAGGAATATTCATCTGCACATTTCCTTCAAATATTGTAGAGCCCAAAGGGTTTTAACAAAACAAGGTCAGAAAATATTTATAATGAAAAACCATTATTGTTGAGAATAACAGCAGAGGAATATTAAGGATCATACAACTTCAAACACTTCTATTCAGCTCCTCAGAGATCCTAGATGAGTTCCCTGATGATTCCCTGCTTCTCTTTGTAACTGGACTGTAAAGTAAATGCATTCTTTTTGGGACTGCTGTCAGACAAAGTTATATTAAGCAACATTATATTCAGTTTATATCCATTTAAAAAAAAATCTGATCAATTAATGTGAACTAGTCTAACTAAAGTAGTGTCAAGTTATGATGTGATGTAAATAAATTAAACTACTTCATGAGGGGTGAAATTAGTATTTGACTGATAAAAATGTGATTAAATGTCCTGAGAGCTTTGCTTTGATTAATCTTCTGATTGAGTATTTAAGAAGGAAACTAAGAAGAGTGTGAGAACGACCAATGAGAGATCGTATGTCAGAATTCCCCAAAACAAAGTCGGGAAAAGAGGCGACATTCCAGAGGACAAAATCAGTAAAATAATCCTCCTATGTGTTGGATTTCTGAATGAATTTGGTTGTTGTGAATTTGTTTGTTGTCAGTAATCTGAAAAATTAGCTGACTTAAGAAAAGAAACTTAATTGGTGAAGAAAGAGCATGCCTTTAATGTTGATCAAGGGCTGCGGTGTGAGAAGAGAGAGTGTGTGTGTGCTTGTAAGACCCTCTGAAAGAGTGAGAGCATCTAAAGGGTGAGCAGTGAGTAAGGCGTCATCTTGAAGACGCTTTAACAGCACTGTTTCTGATGAGCAAGGAAAAAAAAAACATGTTGCGGATGTGTTTTGAAAAAGGACAGGAAGTGTTGCGGCTGCGTGGGGAGAAAGTGTGCGTCTGTTGTGGGTTTGTGGAAAAGCTTGTTGTGGGTGTGTGGAGACTCTTAAATAAAGAGACAGACGTGTGTGTGGAGGAAAGGGACTTTTGGAAAACCATTTAAGACGGGAAAGCTTTTGTGCTTTTAGAACAGAGGTGATGGTTTAGCTGAGAGACATTTGGAAATAGAGAGACAATGGAGGAAAGTTTCAAGTGAAGAGACGGTGTTATGAGTGCACACAGAGTGTCTTGCTCTGGTCTTAGAAAGCAGTCATGAGGAGAGACAAATTGATTGGCTGAGGAGGGAGAGGGAGGGTTACAGGGCAGCAAAAAGTCTCGAGGACATCTTGCAGAGGAGTGGACAAAGAGGCAGAGCAACACAGTGTCTACTGGCTGCAGGGAGAGAGAGAGAGTGAGTCTTGTGTGTTTTAAGATCTTGGGGAAGCAGAGGGGAGAAATCTGAGTGTGCAGGAGGAAGGAGTGCTGGTAAGGAAGAGAGGTGAAGAAGAGGACAAGGAGGGGAAGAGGGAGTCAGCCAGGCGAGTCAGAGGGTTAAGTTGTAAAAACAGGAGGAAGAGAAGAAAGTGGACAAAGAGGGTGAGAGAGAGTTTCTCTGTGGTTGAAAACTGGCAGATGAAGAGCTGACTAAGGAGGAAGAGAGAAGGGAAAGAGGGCAAGAAAACAAAGAGGGGAGGGTGAGAAAATCAAGATTGATGGTGTTAATGAGAGGGAGAGTCAGAGAACAAGTGAGTAACAAGTCTCTGCTGCAAAACCAGAGACTGAAACACAGAGACCAAAATACCCATTGAGAGGGAGCTTAGTGACGGGAGCTGGTGTGTCTGAGTGTGCCACTCCTCCTCCTCCTCCTCCTTTTCTTCCTCCTTTTCTCCATGCTGTTGTTGGCCTTAACTTGCGGCGGGTCACTGGGGCGCCACTACATCGCCATGTTCGAGGCCACGCAGAACGTCCTGCTCAAGCCCACAGAGACCTGGAGGGAAGCGCTGCTGGACACCCGCGTCATGGACCTCTTCTTCACTGTGAGTGTCCCATCTTTCATTCATGTTTTTATCAGTTTCAGAGCTTCTGCGGGTTTCTGATTTTCAAAAGTGGCTCATTGTTTGAATTTTAGAGTCATCATTCTGTACTAAAACATGAAAGTAGTCACTTGAACTTTTGAGAGTTGCTCAATGTCACAGTTTAAATCTTACTGTAACATTCAGTGCACTCACACAGGTATACTGCATCACATCCTTTGTAGCACGGAGCATTCAGCTGCTCAACACGCTCTGATTGGACAGCATGATATTGACACTCTGCACTTTATTTCATTTAATTTCATACCTTTATTTATTAGTCCTTGCTTATTTGTTTATGATTGTGTTTATTGTTGATATTTAATGTCATACCTTTGTACAAAGAGAACACAGTTTTAAGCATACCTGGCCAATAAAGCTGATTCTGATTCTCAAAGTGACACTGAGGTTTCCCTCATTTCCAATGCCGTCGAGATTACAAGCACAGAAAAACAAGCAAAAACTTGCCAAGTGATATTCCTTACAAGTAATCATATAAATGCATATTTACTGATCTTCTTGCATGTCATTATGTTCTCTCCTGTATGTTTGTTGTGGTCTTTGGTGATTGATGTTTTTAACGCTCTTGGTGCGAGGCAACAGAAGCTTTATTCCTCAATTGGCAGTTATGAAATATGTCAACTTGCGCTCTTTTATACAGGGCAGGAATAACAAACTGAGGTGTACACATGAAGACACATTGTAGTGGGACTCACACTAAATATGCTTAAAGTTTTGTCACTTATACTAACCTATATGCCAAAAGATTTGATATCTATCATGTCTTTGATTCTGTCTGTATCTTAAAGAACTGGCACTGTGGAAAGAAGAATTCTCCCTCCTGTCACATTTTTTCTTACTCTTTAATAAACACACCAAAAAATTCCAAAACAATACTTGACTTTAGTAGCAGCATGTCTTTAAATTAGTACACAGTTTTACGTTGAGCTCAATGCTGCCGGTTAAGCTGCTTTATCTGAGAAACAAGCGGTGCACTGCCAAGACTTTCCGGGTAAAACTCGGCTCTAGAATTCCTGTTCCAGGCCAGGGAGAAGTTGATATAAATAGGCTATAATAAACCACGAACTGTATGAAATGATTTATTAAATAACTGACTAAATTGTCACACATCTTGCTGAAACCTGAATGTAAGTTTGACATTGACCTGGTCACACTGGTTTTAGACTGTTGTCTTTGTTTTACCTGCAAAATCAAACCTCCTTTACATCAAAGCTACATAACAATGAAGGAAAAGGATCAAATTAACTCGACTAAACCTGCTGATCATTTCATGCACTCTGATGAACGTTATTGTATGTTTCACTTTATCTGTTTTCTGCACTCTTGTGTCCGTGCGTTTGTTTCCATCCATGGAGGTTCTCCTGTCAGGGAGGTCGTCGTTCAGATCCAAAGTGATGGCCTTCTTGTCTCGTACATTTCCATTACAGTGCTCTTCTTACACCCTTTCCCTCCGCGCTCTGCATGGTGGGTTATTTATGATAAACAAACAGACAGTTTGCCTTTTCATGTTGGCTCACTTGACCTCCTCGTTTTGGCACATGCTGAGTTTTTACTAGTTTAGTGGGTTTTTTGATGCACCATTAAGTAGATTTATTGGTGCTTTGCACTGAGGTTGTGTTATTGTGAAGCTGTCCACTGGACCGCCCTGTGAAATGAATGTGTATTGTTCGTGCAGTGACTTTGTGTGTTTTAAGAGACGGCCCACGCTGGGTAAGAAAACGAGAGAGAGAGAGAGGGACAAAAGTGTGGAACAAACCGGTCAGCTAGCTCCTCTTTCATCATCTGATACACTTCTCCATAAAGCTTTACATGTCCTAACAGTCCTGTCCTCTAAAGCTTTTGCCTGCTGCTACCTGTTTCTCTGCATTTTGTGTCTCCAGGAGTCAAAAGCTGCTCTGTTACTGCTGCTCTGACTCTTTCTGTCGGCTGCATGTTTCTGACTTGAACACAGCTTTACTTTTATAGCTCAATGCACGTACACAAATCCTCGCCTGCTCACTGACATGTATAGCTGCGGGACATTACACACAAACTTTAAGTTGGATACTGTTTAGCTTAGTGGGCTTGTTTGATGATTAAGCATATTTACAGCTCAGCTAAGAAAATCTGTGATGATAGTCATTATTATTATTTAAAAAATCATATAAATAACTTATGTTCAGAGTAAATAATCAGACCAGATGCAATTTCTTTCCTGTAATGTTGCTGCAGAACTAATAATATATTCCCATTCTTAACAAAATGGTCCCATTTCATGATGTTGAGAAGCAGATCTTCCTAGTTAGGTGATTTTAAAGCTTTAAAACAAAATGTGGAAGCAACATGGATATTTTGTTTAGTGCCCACTTACAAAGCTTATTTAAGAAATACGTTTATTGCTGTTTCCTGTATTTCCGTATCGTTAATATTGGAGCCCGACTGATTAATTCACCGGCTGATGATGTCAGCCGATAGCATATCATGTGACTATCGGTATCAGCAAATTTTATCTCCTATATTCTGCTATAACTAGCTTTACTCAATTAAATTTGGTTATTTATATTTATATAGTTTTATTCATAATTGTAAACTTGTAACTTTTAAAAAAGTTAAAATGACTTTCAGTGCACTCTTGTTATTCTGGCCAATAAAGACTTTTGTTCAACTGTAAAAAAAAAAAAATCTATATCTATCTTTTAATTTATCTATCCATCCACAAAGATCGAAGAGAGATATCGGCCGATATATCGACATCACAATTTTTTTCTCTCCCTAAAGTATTGGCCTCAAAAATCTCATATCGGTCAGGCCTTGGTTAATAGCATAGTATGATTTTGTGCCTCGTTGTTGCTGCAGCATTCGTCCCTTAAACTTATCACATTCTGCTTTACCTTACTTATAATTAGTGTTAATGCTAATACTAAACATTTCTAACAAATCTTACTCAATGTGGACAACAGTCACGACTTAATACTGCGTACTCATCATGAGCACAACAAACCATGGAATGCAATGAATGAATGATGAATAAATAACAAACCCTCAGGAGTCTCTTTCTGCGTTAACATCAAGGATATCTCAATCAATAAATCAAATGTATTTATAAAGCACTTTTAAAAATGGCAACAGCTACTGCGCCAGCTAGCCCGGCCTTATGTTGGCGCCTCATGTAAAGAGGCTATCATCCTCCAACAGGCGGTCGGGTTTGACTCCAGCGCTTGGCACTTTGCTGCATGTCATTCCCCTCTCTCTCATCCATTTTTCCTTCTCTATCCAGGCATCAAAGCCCCCAAAATAAAATGAAAATCCAGCAACAGCTGTTTAAAGTGCTGCTGTCCATGGGGCAGAACAATACAATTAAAAATACAGAAGGAGACAAAAACGACAGACACACACCAAAAAGAAAATGATGATGAAACAACAGAAGGTCAACACTTTTGACAGCTTCTTTGGTGGTTATAGTTTTTCTTTTAATGTAGCTGATGTGACTGCAGTAACAGACCAACACGAACCACTCTGAAGTTTTGAAGTCATTATTTAAATAAAAGTTGTTGTTATTAAATCTACCAATGCTCATTCTTACTTTTTCTGTGCCCCAGTAAAAGTCTGATAATCAGCATTCATTGACAGCCATTTGTATGCTTTTAGACTTCTTCTTAATTCACATGGCAATCACAAATAACTATAACCGTCTCCAAACAGCGCCCGTAATCAGAGGGTTGAAACACAAAGCGCACAGGCGTAATCAAGCCTTTGATTGGCCGGCAGCAACAGCAGCACTTTGGCATGAATAAAAATATTTGTCATTTTTCGGTCGCTTGTCTTTGCTGCTGGAATCTGCAGGATGTGTTTTGTGTTGGTTTCAGTTTTCAGACGTCCAGTCTCATCTCCCGCTCTGGTATTTCTAGTAGCTCAACTGTTTGTTATTGTAGGGCTGCTGTGGCACCGTCAGCTGTCCGAGTGTGTGTGTGTGTGTGTGTGTGTCTGTGTGTCTGTCTGTGTCTGTGTGTCTATGTTTGTGTAACAGCATCCCTCTGGTTGTGTTGCATGAATTTTTGTTTGTGTTGGGGGCATATCCATCTCTGTGGGATAGTGTAAATATGAGATGTCAAGTTTGTTTGTGTGTTTTTAAGTAGTGTGTGTTTATATAAGTTGGTTTATGTGTGTTTGTGTGTGTGTGTGTGTGTGTGTGTGCCCGTGTGTATGAGTCTGTGTGTTTGTATATTTATTCAATTTAATGGGGTCCTTTGCTGTCTCAGCTGCCGCATCTCCTCAGCTGTGAGAGGTAACAGGCTGTGTGTGTGTGTGTGTGTGTGTGTGTGTGTGTGTGTGTGTGTGTGTGTGTGTGTGTGTGTGTGTGTGTGTGTGTGTGTGTGTGTGTGTGTGTGTGTGTGTGTGTGTGTGTGTGTGTGTGTGTGTGTGTGTGTGTGTGTGTGTGTGTGTGTGTGTGTGTGTGTCTGTGTGTGTGTGTGTGTCTGTGTGTCTGTCTGTCTGTCTGTCTGTCTGTGTGTGTGTGTGTGTAAAGAGGGGTACACAGAGACACGTGCCGTCAGGGTCACAGTCCACATCATACCAGTGGGGGGATTAGAGCCTGGCCCCAGGATTAGGGGCCCCCCCTGTTAACTACCGCAGTAACCCACCCATCACTCTTACACACAAACTCATCACCCTGTTTGAGGGGCTCCGTGGAGTCGTGGTCCCTCTGTGCGTGGGTGTCTGGCTCCGGGGCTCCTTCACTGGTCTGTGTTGTAAATGTCTGCTCTGACACAAGGAGGTCTGTCAGTCTCGGATTGGAGAGTTATCATCGACCATATTTTAGTTTCTTTTTTAGGATAGTTTAGGATAATAGGGTTTTATGACAAGGTGAAAGAGAAGTCTAAGGACGCAGCTAAGTCATTGATATTAATTCAGAAAGGGTCAGAGTTACAAGGCTAGTTAGCCCAGGATTTTAAACAAATGCACGT